CTGCAGTCGCATTCCTAAAACAGTCACATTCTGAGGTACTGGGCATTAGGACTTCAATGCATGGATTTTAGGGGAACATAATTCGTTCAGCCATTAACACTCATCTAATTCTGTCTTGGTACCTGCTTCTCAGATGCCAGGTTTCTCTAATAGGAGATGCAAAGCAGGTAGAGCACTGGTGGATGAAATGACCAGCGACTCATATCTTCTTGTTGTAGTCTTTTTTTTTTTTTTTTTTTTTTAATCTCACTCTGTCACCCAGGCTAGAGTGCCGTGGCATCAACCTAGCTCACAGCAACTTCAAACTCCCGGGCTCAAGCCATCCTTCTGCCTCACCCTCCTGAGTAGCTGGGATTACAGGCATACACCACCATGCCTGGCTAATTTTTTCTGTATATTTTTAATCGGCCAATTAATTTCTTTCTATTTTTAGTAGAGACGGAGTCGCACTCTTGCTCAGGCTGGTTTCGAACTCCTGACCTTGAGTGATCCTCCCACCTGGGCCTCCCAGAGTGCTAGCCTGTTGTAGTCTGACTCCACAAATCCAATTACAAAAGTAAAAATAAATATACAAAAACATGAAAAAATAGGTTTCGAATATGAAATAAATGTCCAGTTTCTTGGGTGATCCTTGATCTCTCAGAAACCTATAAAAGAGATACTATAACATGGAAAGTAGTAAGTGACAGAAAGAAACAAGATTCTTCCCATTGGTGGTTCCTCTAAGTGGGGCAGATGACCCTCAGGTCAGTCGTGCCTCAGGCCTGGCAGACACAGGCTGGCCACAGATCCGCGCTTTTGAGCCTCACACTGGATTCTGTCACCAGCCTGGGAACAGGCCTCTGCAGCCAAGGTGGCAGATGCAAAGTTTAAAAAAGCTTGGATTGGCATGAATGTGAGTGAGAAATAAACTGGAGCAGAGATTTGGTGATTTTGTCATCTGTCGGCTGGCATCTGAATATTATTGGCAGTGTCTTAGGCATATTTTGCTTTGACAAGTAGGGGAAATGCTTCTTTAATTGGTGCCCTTTGTTTATAATGTTTGTCTTTCATGTCCATGGAAAATTCCGATGTCTCCCATCTCCATAATGTCTGGGTGTTTGGCAGCAGACCAGACCAGCAACTGTTTCAATAGAGAGGAATCTCTTCTCTCACTCATCAAACACTATTTATTGCTTGGACCATTGCTCTCCATTAATACTACCGGGGAAATACTAATGACTAATGTGATTCTTAAGATTTAGGGCTAGTCCCCTCATAATTGCTTTTCTATCATTCATTTTTTTTTTTTTTTTTTTTTGAGACAGAGTCTCGCTTTGTTGCCCAGGCTAGAGTGAGTGCCGTGGCGTCAGCCTAGCTCACAGCAACCTCAAACTCCTGGGCTCGAGTGATCCTTCTGCCTCAGCCTCCCGGGTAGCTGGGACTACAGGCATGTGCCAACATGCCCGGCTAATTTTTTATATATATATCAGTTGGCCAATTAATTTCTTTCTATTTATAGTAGAGACGGGGTCTCGCTCTTGCTCAGGCTGGTTTCGAACTCCTGACCTTGAGCAATCCGCCCGCCTCGGCCTCCCAAGAGCTAGGATTACAGGCGTGAGCCACAGCGCCCGGCCTATCATTCATTTTTTAAAATGGCTAGTCAACATCTAATGGGTACCTGCTATGTGTCAAATTCTTTTTGAAACAAGACTGGGCTTGTTCAAGGGTGATAAAAAACAGATAGTTTTTGTATGTGGTATGTGTTATTATCATTATTTTTCTTTTTGAAATCAGAATTTCTTAACTTCACTAAGATCATCCGTTTTGTGTATGTATATATGTATGTGGTAAAGTACCTTTCACTTTGGAGTATCTATTTAATTTATCTAGTTTTTCATAGAGGTGCTGTCGTATCTAAGAATCCATTGCCAAATCTGAGGTTATGAAGATTTACCCCTATGTTTTATTCTAAAAGCTTTTTATTTTTAGCTCTTATGTTTAGGTCAATCATCTATTTTGAGCTAATTTTTGTATATGGTATGAAGTAGAAATCTAACTCCATTCTTTCCCATGCAGAAATCCCATTGTCTTAGTGCCATTTGTTGAGGGACTGTTCTTTCTTCATTGAATGGTCTTAGCATCCTTGTGAAAAATAACTGGCCATAGATACATGGATTTGTTTCTGGGCTCTCAATTTTATTCCACTGGTCTATATGCTTCTCCTTATGCCAATAGCACACTGCTTTGAATATTGTAGCTTTGTAGTTTGTTTTGAAATCAGGAAGTGTGAGTCCTCCAACTGTGTCCCTCTTTTTAAATATTGTTTTGGCTATTTGAGGCCCTTTACACTTCCATATGAATTTGAGCATTGGTTTCTCAATTTCTGCAAAAAAGGCCATTGGCATTTTGATGGGGATTGTATGAAGAGTACATTTGGGGAGTATTGACATGTTAACAATATTAAGTCTTCCAACCCATGAACACGGATGTCTTTCCATTTATTTGTTTCAGCAGTGTTTTGTAGTTTTCAGGTACAAGTCTTAGATTTTCTTGGTTAAATTTATTCCTAACTGTTTCATTCTTTCTGATGCTATTGTAAATGGAATTGTTAAAATTCACCCCCTCTAAAATGTAAAGTTTGATGAGTCTAAGTAAAATTATACTGTTGGGCAACCTTCCCCATAATCTAGTTTTACAACATTTGCATCAAAGTTTCTTTGTGTATATGTGCAGTAGATTCCTGCTTTCACACCCCAGCCCCAGGCAACTTCTATTATATTCTGTCTTTATAGTTTTGCCTTTTCTAGACATGTTATTTATGCAGGTATTTACATTTACACAAAATGCATTTACAAACAACACACCATCTCCTTCTCTTTTATTCCTTTTTTTCTCTCTCTCTCTCACCCAGGATACAAAAACACTCGTACATCTTTTTGTCAACATCCTGGCCTGTGCAAACGACCTTACCTCTTAAAGCATCAACTAGTTACCAAATGAGAAAATTTTAGCTCATCCTTGTGCAGAAGATGCAATGAGCCAAGCTAGCCCGAGCAGGCTCTGACTGGGTTAGTTCTGGAGGATTTGGATCATAATCCTGAAAGATACAATACCAAATGCCATAATCCTCAATGTTGAAATCCCGAAATAGCAAAAGCCCTACAGTCTAAAATCTCTAATGTCTAAAATCCCTAAAATCACAATCACAGGATAGTTGCATCATGTTAGGAGGAACTCTTACCTTGTCTTTATGTGGAAGTAAATGGATTTCAATTGAATCCTCAGACCATAGTGATGGATTTCAAATTAGGGGCAATCAAGGCTTCTAAAAATGAATTTCAAGGTGTTACCAATAAAATTTGTCTTTTCCATTCAGCCCAATGCATTTGGCAGAAAATTAAGATGAGTGGATTCATCATGTGATATGGCAGCGATGAAAATCTCAGTTTAAAAATCTGTCCTTTGTCTGCATTGGCATTCCTTCCAGCTGATGACATTCCAGAAGCTTTTAATGAATTAAAGCCGCATTTGCCTGAAGAAGCCAGTGAAAACTGACTAGTTCAAAAATTATTATGTACATGGTAGAATAAGAAGACATGCAATGGTGTTGCTCTTTGATCACCAGTATTGCTCCTGCCAGATCTGTGGTCTGTATATGAGCACATGTAGAATGCGTTTCCACATACCCAAAACAACATAGAAACATGGCACAGAAGATGGGAAGATTCAACAGGGGATGCTCATGTCAGTGTATATTGAATCACAGAAGAATTTCAAAAAGAGCAGTGCCATGTAGAAGATGAATGTGAACATATGCTCCGAGGAGAGCTATGTCTTAAAAGAAATAAAGCAGCTATTCATCATGATGCAAGACTTCAAAATATATGTTAATGATTATGAAAGTTGGCAAGCTCTTATGGACTATCTCTGGGTAATTGCCCATAACCTATCCCTGTAATACACTTTCTCATATGTCAAATTGTATTTTTAGTTTGTTATCTTTTCTTTTTCTTTCTTGAGGTTCCCCCCCACACTAAATTGTCAGAATTATTTTTTACAATTCGCTCTGCTCTGTATTTCATCTTCACACACTTCCACCTTCACTGGAGGTGTAAATTGTGTACAAACTTTTAGAGAGTTCTAATTTTGCAAATGTGACTTCATCAAAGTGCATTATCACAACGTTGTCTTTGTGTGTTAGTATTGAAATATCCTCAATAAATGAAGAGATGTTCTTCTTGTACGTGTGCATTGGTGAAAGACAAAATTTCTCAAGACCTTGGTTCTTTGGGCAGCTGGTTTGGTGGTGATTGGTGGTGGCCCATCTGGGTTTTTGATCCATCTCATTAAAAGACTTCGGTTGTAATCCTAGCACTCTGGGAGGCGAGGCAGGCGGATTGTTTGAGCTCAGGAGTTTGAGACCAGCCTGAGCAAGAGCGATACCTTGTCTCTACTAAAAAAATAGAAAGAAATTAGTGGGACAACTAAATATATATATATATGTATATATATATATATATTAGCCGAGCATGGTGGCGCATGCCTGTAGTCCCAGCTACTCGGGAGGCTGAGGCAGAAGGATCGCTCGAGCCCAGGAATTTGAGGTTGCTGTGAGCTAGGCTGATGCCATGGCACTCTAGCCCAGGCAACAGAGTGAGACTCTGTCTCAAAGAAAAAAAAAAAAAGACTTTGGTTGTCCATCACAGTATTTCAGATGACCACAGGTATAAAGCCTGGTGCACACAATTACCAACCCCAATGACATGCATTTATATATTTCATTTTTGGCCTATTTTTAATGACTATGGTTCATCTGCTCATAACTTCTGCTTATAACCATGTGACTGTCATTAGTATACCTGTTTATGCTTGCAAAAATATGTATATTTTGCCTATTTTGTTTTGTAAAGTGGTCTACAAAATGTTCTGTCATGTTTTTATATGTCTCTCAAATAAATCCTCTTTAAGAATGTAAATAGATATCTTTTAAAGAATTTTTAAATTATTCTTTCCAGAATTTTATTTTTAGGATTTTGATCTTTTGGGATTTCAGCATTTGGGATTATGGCTTTCAGGAATGTGTCACTCAGGATTATGGTTGTCTCCCATTCTGGAGAAAACGCCAACATCTGTGAGTAGTCCTGCATATATCTGAGGCTTGGGGTTATGTGCTGAGATTCCGGTGGACAAATCTATTGCAGAGAAAGACTCAGTAGGACTTAGTAGGTTATAGGCTTCTTTTTTTTTTTTTTAGCATATTGAAAATCTGAAATTAGAGACATTGTCCAGCTACTGTTTAGAATCCGTTAGAATCTGCTGTGTGTGGTTAGCTCATTAGAATAAAGGCGTACCATAAGAGAGGTTCAAAACCTTGTGTGAAATGCGAGGTCGCACTATTGCAAGGTGGAAAAAATGGAAATAGGGGCTGGGGGGAGGATGGGAGCCATTCACCTACTGGCAATATTTCTATTTAAGCACAGCTCCACGGTCCAAACCTAAAACCTTCTGATGGACAGCCCAGGCCCTGTAATAAATACACAGTTTTCTGCCCTCCACTTTCCCCTGGGAGCCTTTGTTGACCTCTCCTTTGGATTCCCAAGACTCGTTATTTGTATTTTGGTCCAACAATTCTTTTAAGGAGGGCCCAGCCATGGCTAACATTGACTCAAAGTGCTTTTATTAGCTCAGATAAAAAGCTCAGTTACTTTAACCTACTTCTCTCTGCCAAGTACAAAGACAATGCAAGGCTCAGATGTTACTAGAAGTTACTGGGCACTTTCGTATACAAAAGAATAAGAACACCAGGTTTCTTAGAATACACCAAAACCTCTTCTCCTGGGGTTTTATACATTGTTCAAAGGGTGGGAGATGGGGTAGTATTTTTGGTTGGGGTGAGGGGTAGAGGGCCTGGAAATTTGGTTTGAAATTAATGAGGAAAGTATTGAGCCACAATTCATTCATGTTTTTTTGCATCCTTGTCAGCTGTCTAGGATACAATAAATGTTTTTTTTTTTTGCTTTTTTGGGTTTTTTTTTTTTGAGACAGAGGTCTCATTCTGTTGCTCCAGCTAGAGTCAGCCTAGCTCACAGCAACCTCCAACTCCTGGGCTCAAGTGATCCTTCTGCCTCAGCCTCCCGAGTAGCTGGGACTACAGGCATGTGCCACGACGCCTGGCTAATTTTTTTTCTACATCTTTTTAGTTGGCCAATTAATTTCTTTCTATTTTTGGTAGAGACGGGGTCTCGCTCTTGCTCAGGCTGGTTTCGAACTCCTGACCTTGAGCCATCCTCCTGCCTCGGCCTCCCAGAGAGCTAGGATTACAGGCGTGAGCCACCGCGCCCGGCCTACAATAAATGTTTATTGGGGACCTACAAAATGTGCCAGGCATTGTTCTAGTGGCTGGGTGGTGTCTCAGTGAACAAAACAGACAAAAAACCCCCCGCTCTTCTTTCATTCTAGGGGGAGGAGACACACAACAAACAAAATAAATACATGAGATGTAAGCGGCATCTGGTGGCAGGCGCTATGGAGAAAACCGAAACAGGATGGGGCGCAGGAGTTCTGGGTGAGGGAGGATGAGCAATGGCTGTGACTAGTTTCCAGAGAAGGCTGCGCTTAGACGCTGCGAAGCAAGGAGGCAGCCGAAAGAGGAGATGGAGCGAATCGTGCCAGCATCTAGGAGACTGGGCAGGCCAGGTGGCGGCAACAGCAAGGCAAAGACCCTGCGCCCGGAGTCAGGCTGGTGAGAGTAACGGCAGAGGGCAGGGAGGATGGAGGGGGGCAGAGGACGTGGGGCACGGGGACCTGCAGGCCATCAGGTGACCTTCGCTGTTGCCCACAGTGAGGCGGGAGCCACTGCAGGCTCTTGAGCAGAGGAGGGACACAGTCTAGCTCTTAACTTTTTCTCTGGCTGCTCTGTTGCTTGCATGGAATAAAATACTTAGCACCATGCCAGGCACATAAAGATTAATACATTCGGTGACTGTTTGTGTGTCACGAATGCGTGGAAGGTATTCTTGAATTGAAATGGGGAACATTTTCCCACATAACTTGATGTGGCCCTCAAGTGTCACCTTCTTTAACAAGTTGAGAACATTCAGCCATCCGTTCATTTGCTGGATATTTGCTGGTGGGTGTCTACAATGTGCCGAGCACTGTTTTAAGCACTGAAGACACAACGGTGAGTGAACAAGCTAAAAAAACAGTCCGTGCCTCAATGGGCTTTCATTGAGTGGGGAGAGGCCAGGCAAAGAACAAATAATATATAAATAAACATATGTATACATGAAAAACTTCCTGATGTGTTAAATGCTAAGAAGGGGGAAAAGGTCAGGGGACACTGAGTGGCAGGAGCGAGGGGCTGTTTTAAACAGAAAGGCAGCGAGGTGCATCAGCGCTCAGGAGTCTTGGCTTTGTCGTCTCTAAGGGCAAGGCGCAGTGCTGGGTTCTGAAGCATCCTCTACACCAGGGGTCCTCACACTTTTTAAACAGGGGGCCAGTTCACTGTCCCTCAGACCGTTGGAGAGTGCGGCGCGCATTCCACACATGCGCACTGTGGGCCCGGGACGAGTCGGCTGCTAAGCAGGACAGGCAGCGGCAGCAAAAACACTCCCCAGGCAGGATAAATGTCCTCGGCACGCCAGCATGTGGCCCCTGGGCCGTAGTTTGAGGACTCCTGCTCCGCACAGTTCCAGCCCTCGGGGACTTAGAATCTGTGGGAGGCAGAATTCTAAGGTGGCCCCTAAGATTCTGCCCACAGGGGTCCACGCCCTGCATAATCCTCAAGAATATGATGAATATGATATTTGAATATGATGTGATCAGGAGATGGGCTCCCTGAGCAGGCGATGTCCTATGGCACAGCTGCCTTTAAGACAGGAGATTACTTGGTGAGCGTGACCTAATCAGGTGAGCCCTTATGAGGGACCAGGCTTGCCTTGAAGAGGAGATTTGAAGCCTGAGAGCCATTTGATGCTTGCTTTGAAGACGGAGGAGTCCCCAGGGCAAGGACCTGCAAGCGGCCTCGAGGAGCTGACAGTGACCTCCAGTCGACAACCACCAGGGACCTCAGTCCCACCACGGCCAGGAACTGAGTTCTGCCAACAACCTGCGTGAGCTTGGAAGCGGATTCGTCCCTAGTCGAGTCTTCAGACAAGAATCTTGCTCAGCGGCAAACTCAGGCAGGTTGTGCTTGGACTTTGGACCTACAGAACTGTGAGATAATAAGTGAACTTTATTTTAAGCTGGCAAATGTTTACAGCAATCTGTTATGCGGCAATAGAAAACCAACATAGATTCTAACAAAAGTATATCAGCATTTATAATCCAAAGGGCACTCGGAAGGGGTGGAGCAAGCTTTGCTTTTTGAATGACAAACGGTGAATGATGCAGTGGCTTGTGGGCAGGCACAAACAAAAGCTAGTCTAAAACGACCACAGCTGATTTCTCCTCTTATAACTTTACCATCATGTCATTGCCTTACTAGGGACTCTTCCGGGGGTGCCCATGGCCTATGGGACAATCTGCATGATTCACTCCTGTCCTGCTATCCTGTCCAGAGCCTGCCATTCTGAACCCATCTCTTAGTGTCTCCCAGACTCTCATTAAACGTTGAATTTAGGCCGGGTGCGGTGGCTCACACCTGTAATCCTAGCACTCTGGGAGGCCGAGGTGGGAGGATTGCTTGAAGCTCAGGAGTTCGAGACCAGCCTGGGCAAGAGCGAGACTCCATCTTTACTAAAAAAATATATAAAAGAAAATTAGCTGAACAACTAAAAAGATATATAAAAGGAAATTAGCTGGACAACTAAAAAAAAAAATATATATATATATAAAATTAACCGGGCATGGTGGCACATGCCTGTAGTCCCAGATACTCAGAGGCTGAGGCAGGAGGATCGCTTGAGCCCAGGAGTTTGAGGTTGCTGTGAGCTAGGCTGACGCCATGGCACTCTAGCCCGGGCAACAGAATGAGATTCTGTCTCAAGAAAAAAACTCAAAACAAACAAAAACATTGAACTTAGCGATCCACTGTCCTTCGGATGACCCAGAATGCCTTGTCCTCCATCACTTCACACCGTTCCTGCGGCCCCGAACAGATCAGAATCAGCACAGAGAAGATGAGCGTGGGAAGGCAAACATTTTCACTCTGGAACTTATCCACAGAACCTGAAGACTTATATTACGACACATTTCAGAGGGCTGCACTCCCAGCATGTCACCTCCTTGCCCAAAGTATTCAATAGCTTCCTATTTTTATATTTTGCAGATCTTTAGCCTGGTGATCAAAATCTTCCACGATATGACCCCAAAATACCTTTCCAACACTAGCTCCAGTTGCATTGCCCCGGGCCCCACGTATTTTACTCACACTGCACTGGCTTTGCCGTCTCTGTTCCTTGCTCAGTTTGGTCTCTGTTCCTGAAATGTCCTGCTCCTTTTTTTACCCATTTATCAAATCCTGAGGCTCAAAGAGGTTCAGTAACTAGCTCAAAGTTACAGAGGTCAGGTAAATGTCACCTTTTTCCCCAGTAAGAAACACTTTTCAGGTCAGGATCAATCTTTTCCTTCCAATACTCCTGTAACACTTTTATCCTAGTACCTATCAACTCCCGTCTTGTCTTTTAGTTATTTACATACCTAAGAAGAGATTTGTGCATAAGCACATAGCTCCAGAATTAGATGGCCTGGGCTCAAATCTAGGCTGTGTCACAAATTTTATGACCATGAGCAAGTAACTGGGGCTCTCTCTGAGCCTCAGTTTTGTCACCTGTAAAATGGGCCATATAAAAATATCTGTCTTCTGGTATTTCCCACCATATAGTAATTTACTTGTTGGTAGAGGTAGACTTTTCATATCTGTATTTCCTCTGGCTCTTAACACAGTGTCTCATAAATCTATAGCTAAAAAACATGCCAGTTGGATGAATATTTTTGGATCATGCTGTTAAGTTCTTTAGTCTTTTTGATTTTTAAACTTCATTTCTTACCAAGTCACAGTGGAACTGTTTGGGTTACTTTCTTTCTTACAATGAATGCTTATTCCATGAATAATAGGCATCTTAAAACCCTTTAATTTTTTCTTCTTTTTTTCCAGGGACATGATACTTTTTTAGAGGAACAAATCATACCATGAGGTGTTGGGAACATTTTTGTCAGGAACTATTAGAAGTCATTTGCATTGTGGGAGCCTTCTGGGGTTGAAGAATGAAAGAGGGTGTTTACCCAGAAGCTGTCTGGTTTCGGGACAAAAGCCAAGTGGCGTTTTTTAATATCAGGGAAAGTTTGCCTCTCCTTGTTTATTACACAAACAAAAAGCTTGTTTAAACAGGTTCTTAGAGGATCGTTTTTGCCAAGTGATTGTTCTATGTGGCATACTGAGTTTGTTGTAGATCTTTTAAACAGGGCAAAGACTGTGACTCTAGCTCGTGGTTGAACACTCTTGAACCGTGATCACTGTGCTTAGAGAAACTGGTGTGAAGTGGGAAATATACCAGAGTTGGGGTCATGCTTTGATTTTGCTCTTTATAAGTTGTGTGATTTTGGGAAACTCTCTCAACCTGTTTTTCTAATTCTAAAGTGCAAATAATCACCTGTTCCAACCATATCGCAGACTTATTTTAAACTGAATTTAGAAGAATGAAATGATTCCTCATTTTGAAGAGCAAAATGATATAAAATAAAATGATGTACTACAAAGCATAAATTGGCATGATTCTAACAGCCACAGATTCTGTTTGGAAACAGGTGGGACACAAGTAGTAAAGCCTGTACATAGCTCAAGAGAGAATAATGTATGATTATTTAACAAAAAGAGACAATCTATAGTTTTGATTTGTAATTAAATGTGAGATAACAAGATATTTAAGGTACCAACATTCTCGATTTATCTTGCAGGTAAGTATTTTAGTGATTTGTTTTGGACAGGTAGCAATAGGTCACATTCATAAAGATATTTTTATTAAAGAGTGACAAATTTTGTATCCAATATTACTATAGCTTTTGAAGGAGCTCATAATTGTAATTACAGCTTGCTCAGCTTGTCCAGGTTTATGTAGAATACGGTTGCCCTATTTTACTCTTTTATAAAGTAGTTTATATGAGTTTTCAACTTGAAAGATTATATATGATCCTGGGCCAGTTGAGATTTTTCTCTGAAATCAGTAGTAGATACAAATAAGACTGACAGGCTGGGCGCAGTGACTCACACCTGTAATCCTAGCACTCTGGGAGGCCGAGGCAGGAGGATCATTTGAGCTTAGGAGTTCAAGACTAGCCTGAGCAAGAGTGAGACCCCGTCTCTACTAAAATAATAGAAATAAATTAGCTGGACAACTAAAATATACACACATATATATATAAATTAGCTGGGCATGGTGGCGCATGCCTGAAGTCCCAGCTCCTCAGGAGGCTGAGGCAGGAGGATTGTTTTAGCCCAGGAGTTTGAGGTTGCTGTGAGCTAGGCTGACACCACAGCACTCCAGCCAAGGCAACAGAGTGAGACTGTCTAAAAAAAAGAAAAAAGACTGAAAGATTCTGAGACAATAATGTTAGTATCTTTCAATCTTTTTAACTTATCATTATGAAGTTGGGGTAGGAAGACTCTAAGGTGAACTCCAATTATCTCTGCCTTCCTAGTTCATATCCTGGTATGATACCCTCCTCTTGCATGTGGGCTGGACTTACTGACTCACTTCTAAGCAATAAAATCCAGCAGAAGTGATGGGACATCACTGTGAGATTAGATTATAAAGAGACTGTGGCTTCCACCTTGGCTGCACCCTCTCTCACTCTCTCTTGGATTCCTCGCCTTGAGGGAAGCCAGTTGCTGGGTCAGGAGGCATCTGTATGAAGAGGCCCATCTGGTGAGGGATTTAGGTCCTCTAATAAACACAGGAGTGAGCCTGGTCGCAGCCATCCTTGCCCCCATCCCCACCCCACTCCAGTTGAGCCTTCGGATGAGACCCATGGCTTTCTGACAGCTCGACTGCAATCTCATGAGAGTCCTTAAGCCAGAAGCACCCAGCTGAGTTGTTCCTGAATTCCCAACCCACAGAAACTGGGAATTAATAAATACTTCTTATTTTAAGCCACTAGGCTTTGGGGTATAATGTGTATATAGCAATAGGTAACTAATACAGAAGCCCCCTTGATGTTTCCTACATCAAAATGAAAAGATGAATGTTTAAAAATAAATGTATCATTACTAACAACAACAAAGGTTTGCAAATATTAAGTTGTTCAGGACAATAAAATGTAAAGGGTAGAAATTAAAGACATTATAAATTAGGAAATAGAGCTTTCTAGAGATTATAACCTTAGGAGCCTTTTTTTTTGAGACAGAGTCTTGCTTTGTTGCCCAGGCTAGAGTGAGTGCCATGGCGTCAGCCTAGCTCACAGCAACCTCAAACTCCTGGGCTCAAGCAATCCTGCTGCCTCAGCCTCCCGAGTAGCTGGGACTACAGGCATGCACCACCATGCCCGGCTAATTTTTTTGTATATATATTAGTTGGCCAATTAATTTGTTTCTATTTATAGTAGAGACGGGATCTCACTCTTGCTCAGGCTGGTTTTGAACTCCTGACCTTGAGCAATCCGCCCACCTCGGCCTCCCAGAGTGCTAGGATTACAGGCGTGAGCCACCGCGCCCGGCCAAGAGCTTTTTTTTTTTTTTTTTAAAGGTAAAGATGCTATTGTCTGTGTAGTATAGCATCTGGCAGATTGTCAATTCACTATGCCTATATCAAACTGCAGTGATATTGCAAACTTCCAAACTTTAGACCAAAACTTTCAGAGGAAAACATCTGTAAGTAACAGGACATTAACATGAGTTTCTCTCTGGCTTGGTTTCAAAGGAACTTCCCCCAAAACTGAGAACCATACGATAGGGCCAGGTCTCCCCCAGCTGATGCAGGCGGATGCTGGTGCAGACACTCAGGGCAAGTTAAGAGAGTCAGAAACCAGTTGCGCCTGCATTAGCTGATCACCCACACCTAATTTTTCAAGACTGAATTTGAGTAATCTATACTAGAAGAAGGATGTCTTTGTGAGAATTTTCAGTGTGCTGGGCATCCCAACCTCAAAGGCAGGAAAAGGATATGTTAATATTTCCAGTGGAGTTTAAAGAGAACCTCTTGCAGAGTTTGAGGTTTGGGGACACAGGGACTAGTGTCTGGCTTGTGCCAAGTGACATCTAGAGGTGAGAAAGATGGCTGGAACTGCTCCTGCCTCGCACTACAGTGAAGACAAGGTGCCTCGAGGGGCAGCTACATTTCTACCGCATTTGACTAGCAACTGGATTGGAAGGCAGCTAGCCTGGGAGTTGCTTAAACATGACTCTCCCCAAGAGGCCTACCTAGAAGGACAATGTGGCGGATTGCCTAGAAGGACAATGAGGCGGATTGCTCGAGGTCAGAAGTTCGAAACCAGCCTGAGCAAGAGCAAGACCCCATCTCTACTATAAATAGAAAGAAATTAATTGGCCAACTAATATATATAGAAAAAATTACTAGCACTCTGGGAGGCCGAGGCGGGCGGATTACTCGAGGTCAGGAGTTCGAAACCAGCCTGAGCAAGAGCGAGACCCTGTCTCTACTATAAATAGAAAGGCAGGGGGTGGACACAAGATGCCCAGGGGTCATGAGCAACCAGGAAAGGCACAATCGTCTCCATCAAAGAGTAGATGGGTGGGTCTCAGGAGCTTGCAAAAGCTCACCAGGAGAGAAGGCATCTGCCATCCACAGGGAACAAGGCAGTGGGGTCCCAGCAGTCCTCATGAGGGGGGCCGTGCCCTTATCCCTCATCCCCCCATCCCAGGACCCAACCCTGGACGGGTTATAAACAGCGGCTCATAAGTGGGAAGCAAGAGTATTAGGAAAAAAGAAAAGAAACGAAACAGACTCCACCCTCGACTCTGCCTCCCAGGTCCAAACTGGAGAAAGGAAGAAGTCTTAATTGGATTAAATCTAGAATTCTGGCTTTTATCCTGGACTAGATTCGAATTATATGGTTATTAAACAGATTTTGTTTTGTAATGCCAAAACAAGGGGCTTTTCATTTATTTTCTAAGAACGGACGGACTGGAAAAGCCAGGGTTCATGCCCTGGATTCCATCCTGGGGCAAGGAAGGGTTAGGCCATGGAGTGACTTGAAGGGACGGTGCAAGAAAGCATAAAGTTACTTTATGCTTATAAGTCTGGCTAAATTCAGCTCATTCAACAAAATTATTATAAGCATTTATGGAAAGAAGGAAGGGAGGGGTCCTGCTGCCAGGAACCCGCTGCTAGCCACAGACAATAAAGGATCACGAAAGATAAGAGTTTTCCCAGTGAAGAGCTTTGGAAACCTTCCACTTGACTAGAAATGGTGCCAACCCCAAGGTTCAGCCCAACAGAGAACACTGGGAACACCAGTTCCCTGGCCCCACTCGACAGTTGCCAAGGGAGTTTATCTCCTTGAGTAATAAGGATTCCAGTTTCCAGCTGAGCCAGGCTCATTCCACACACTCCAGAGCCTCATAGGTCTAAAGCCCACATCAGCGTCATCAGTGGTGTTTCCACAAAGCATGACATCCACAGGATATGAATAGGCATTACCAGGGAATAGAGGGTTGCATGGTCAAAAAGTTTTTAAAATGCTAAGTTAAATAAAATTAAAGAGTTGTCTTTCCTGCAGGACTTCTCAGAGCCTTTAACTGCTAATGTACATTGGTCATGCTTCTAAAGGAGGAGACCACATTGCACAACATTTCTTTCCTGCAACTTGTTTTACCACAAAACACTTTTCTTCATTTCTAGGAAGGTGCCTTAGGAAACACTGGTTTAGAGCGTTGTACCCAGGGATGGCACTAACCAGATGACCCATAGCAGCTGGAGAGTGTAGGTTACAGTCCTGAGGTATTAGAACTGTTTCACTGAACAGTTTCATTGAAGGACCCAGCCCCCTTGAGGTATGTGATTTTCCCATCCAGCCTCCCTCTGGTTCCCTGACTTGTCCCTTACCTTATACTACCCAATATACTTACCATATACTTGATGGACTGTGCTCTGATCCAATCCTGTGCCATTATGTCCTGGAAGTCTACTGCAGCCCCTGGGGCTTGCAAAACTTTGAATGAAGGTGCTCACACTGTCGGCCCTGCCAGCCTCCTTCATCTGGTCACTCCTACTCACCCTTTTAAGCTTCTGTGTATACACGGTTTCCTCCAGGAATCCTTCTCTCCCATCTCTTATGTCCAGTCCTGGGCTGGGTTACTGTGATTACCGCTCTGTAGTGTTCCTCCAAAGCCCTGTGCATGTACAGCCATCATTATTAAAACAGGCTGTTTAGTGACCTGCTCCCCCTCCCCCTGCCCCCCAGATTGTAAGCTCCTCGTTACGGTTTATTCATCTTTAACCTTTGCACATAGTTGCAGCTTATGAAACCCTTGTGGGGTGACTATCTGACTGGCCCACTGCCCGACAGAATACAGGATCTCCTTTCCCAGGAACCTTGACCTGTGTCTCCGCTAGGTGCAGGATAGAAAGGAAGATGCACCG